AGGCCATCGCTATTTGGTGGGAGGTCATTGCGTTGGAGGTAATTAAATTAGGTTTTGGAGGCCATTGCTGTTAGGTAAGCTCCTCAGAGGGCGATGCACTCTGAGGCTCACAGTGAAGCGCCCCCATTCTCGGGCAAGTACCAAGCCTGCAATCTCCGATTCCTGCGCCTCGATTTGCATGTTGGTCAGAGCGGACACGGTTTTCTTAGTTCACTCTTGTAGGCCCTCCTGGGCTGCACCTGACCTTCATCCCTCTGGTGGGGTGGCATCCTTGGTCGGGCACTTGGAGCCTCCCGTGACCCGAGCCCTGCAAGTCCTGAGGCCGTTGGTGTCGTTGGGACCACCCTCACCAGAGCAGGATGGAGATGTTCCGCAACTCCCAGAGCACGGGGGCCCGAGGTGAGACAAGCCTGAACCTGGTTCTTCACCGAAGTTTTTGGGTAGATCAATAAGTAGAAACAAGTGCCACGCTAGTAGTAACAAGTGCCTTACTAGTAGTAACAAGAAGCTGCTAGAAACAAGTGCCACGCTAGTAGTAACAAGTGCCTTAATATGGATGTCCAACCAGTAAGGCGAGCAGCCAGAAAGGGTGCAAAAGAGTGATCGATCGCCAGGTGTCCACGATCTCCGTTCGGGCTGAGGCTGTCAGATTCAGATACTGAGGATCGACGTGCTCCAGGATCGACATGGGACATGGGCTCACGTTGGTGAATGGTAGGAAATCAGGTTTCATATGGTTTCATGGTTGAGCACTGTGTCACAGAGTTCGGCATGTTGCTGTCTGATGCAGCCCTTCTCAGGATTCTCTAGCAACAGGAAGCTACTAGGGGCTCCTGGCATCGCTACTAGGAGCAAGAAGCTACTAGGAGCAAAGGGCTTCGCTACTAGGAGCAAGGGTGCTACGAACGGGGCTCCTGGATTCTCTTTTGACACTTTTATCTCCAGTCTTCCATCTTCTTTCCTCGCTTCGAGGCCACGACTTCCCTGTGGGCGTAGGGGTGTTACAGCCGCCAACTGGGGTTCGCTGCCTCAGAATTGGGTTCCTGTGCCTAGAGGGTCAGATGATAGCAATCCTTGGTCCGAAGACACCAAACTCGAAAGTGGTGCATCAACTGTTGATTGACATATTTGAAATCTCAGGTTCTACACTTGCAGAGTCATTGGCCTTACTCAGTGGCTGTGTTTGTTGTTCAGGTTCTTACCCGCTTTTGTGCTGGAACCATGGCTTTCTAATCGTTACAAGCTGCCATCAGGGGACAGTTCAGACGAAGAGGAAGCCGAAGCTCAGGCAGAGGAGGCGAAGGGAGAACGGGGAAGAGCAGGGGAAAGCAGATGAAAACACGCCAAAGAGAAGAAGCAAAGAATTACAACTAGACCCCAGATGGCAAAAGCATGCAACAGATATTCTGGACAGCACCCTCCAGTCGCACCAGCTCCAAAGCACACACAGGAACCTCTTCTTATACTAGAAGAAAGAGTTTCAAGAGTTCTGACTGTTTGGGGGAATAATGTGGAAAGAGCGTGCTTGCCATCACACTCACAAGTCAATGACACAGATGTTCCTCAAGCGATGACACCGTATGATGTTGCGTGCACTGTACAAGCCTATTTTTGCGTACAAAAGTCTACGCGCCGTGCAACGCGCAGCCTTGCAATATGATGTAGCTCTTTTTAGTAACAAATTCGAGACACGGCACTACTCCAGAGCTCGCAAACTCAAACCGCTTTCTGGTTCACACTCACAGTGTCAATGATCAGGGGTGTTCCCCGAGCGTATGCACCAGCACACCCTGCCTCCACGGACCACGCGCACCAGCTCTCAGCACCAGCGCCCTGTTTTGAAAGCGCACGCAGCCAGCTCATTCTTATTTGAAGTAAGAACCCCATAGCCATAGCTATCGCTATCAAAGAAATAAGGGAAACGCAAGGGAAATGAAAATAAGGCAATCAAAGAAAAGTAGATACGGAGAAAGGGGAAAGGTCTGGGAAAGCGAATGCTGTGCATGGGGCATTGTGATGTCGCGAGGAGGATGGAAGCTTCCAAGGCCGGATTCAAACAGCAAGCGCCCCAGAGATTAGATATATGATGAGTATGTAACATATACTGTAATCATATATTATATATATTACATTAAACCAATATTTTTATCTGTACATTTTGGTACACATCTCTACTAGGTTGGAGGCCATCGCTAGTAGGTTGGAGGCTGTCGCTACTAGGTTGTGAACTATTTTTGTACACCCCCCTCTCTCTCTCTCTGTGCGTGTGAAAGCCATGGAATCATTCAGCGCTTTTTAGCCCATTATGCCATTGTGCATTTTCACGAAAGGTAGCTTCAGCTACCTGAGTTCTCCTCGCTGTAGCAAAACAGTGTTACAATCTGCGAGGAAGGATTCTTCTTCATAGGGGGGCCCTCCCTGCCCTCACGGTCTGGGTGCAAATCTTGTTTTGTGCAGCAGAGCAGCAGCAAATAAGGAGTAAAACAGGCAGCAACGAGCAGCGCAAGCACGCAGTGAACAAGCAGTAGGAGAAAAGAAACCGTAATAGGCAAACGCTTTTCATATTCCAACTTTCAACCAGTGCTGCAACGCGGTTGGAACTAGATAGTGTTTCACCCTTCGAACCAGCTTTGACTCGTGTACTGCAACACCAGCGATGTGGAGCCGCAACTGACCACCATTGAAACGCTTGTGCCTCTCGAGACTTGGCACCCCTTGCGATCCTCTCTCCTTTCCCCCATTTGCCTTTCGTTCAGCCCCTCCTATCTCAAGTTCGTCAGAACGGGAGCGGTGGGCAGTGCTCTATCTTGAGTGTGTGTTCACGGTGTCTGTGTCGAGAAACAGTTTTGGCAGAAGGGGTGGTCATGAAGGTCATGATGCAGGTCACGGTGGTCATGATGAAGGTCATACTGGCCATGCTCGCAGAGCCAAGTAACCTCAAACAATAGAGCGTGAGCAACTCGGGGGCCATGCGGCGATGGAAAAGCCACCTAAGATGGGGACATGGCTCATGCGAAGGATGTTCTGTTGTGCAGGGACCTTGGTCCTTCTCCAGAACCTCATGCTCTTCCACTGGACTGCGCAGATCCGAATCCATCCACCGACACAGCCAGCACAAGCGGTACAACCAGCACAGGCAACACCAGTACCAATACCGGCAACACCGGTACCAATACCAGCCACACCAGCAGAGCCCAAAGGTTCAGCGGTCGCAGCTCCGTCTCCTGTGGGGACGTGGCTGGGATCTGAGACGGGATCCCGTCAGCCTCCGCCTCCAGAGCCACCAAGTGAGACCCTTCGACCGCAAGCGTCGCCAAGGCAGCTGCACCGGGAGAGTTCCCTTTTCAGTGTGCGGCGGGAGGAGCTGCGGATCTTTGGCAATGAGGTGCCGGAAGGAGTCACGATGAGTGTTGGCTTTGGCAGCGTGAAGCGACAGAAGGACTATGTCCTGGACACTGTTGGGATCATGCTGGGCCTGAAAGGTGATTGTCAAATCACCCCTCAGGAACGCTCCAGTGTGGTGATTGTGGCGCACTTCGCGGATTTCGATCGCTCCTGGGTCAGTGAGATTTCACAGAAGCTCATGGATGAGTATAAGGACCTCATCGCTGGTGGTCAGTTTCATGGCATTCATGCCAAGGAGGCGGGAGTTCCAATTCGTCACTAGTAGCTTCTTGTTACCAGTAGTAAGGCCAGGAGCCACCAATAGCGTCCTTGTTCCTAGCAGCGATGCCAGGAGCCCCTTACCAGTACGTAGTTTTAGGGAGTTTGAGCTACAAAAGGGTGGGTGTGACAGGGGGCCAGTGGGGGCACCACAAATGGAGTCAAACCCTGACAAAAATCCCTGAGGAGTTTTACCCAACATTGGATGTGTGTCCTCCAACTTGCAACTACAAGGATGATCCAAAGCGAGTGAAGTGGCGTTCCAAGCAGAACGTGGACTATGCCTTTCTCATGTACTACGCTGCCCCTTTGGCACCATATTATTTGCAGATTGAGGATGATATCAACTTTGCAGCCAATTGGATCAGCAAGATCACCGGCTTTCTGACCTCCTCCTTTCCTCCCACCTACCGTTCCAAAGAGAACGCACCGTGGCGCCTCATCGACTTTTCTCAACTTGGTTTTATTGGAAAGATGTTCCAATCTGACGAGCTAACACGACTTGCACAATTCCTCCTCCTCTTTTATGATCAGATGCCTTGCGATATCCTTTTAGGTCAATGGGTGCTGGCCATGACCCAGGGGAAGAAAATTGAGTACTGGAAAACCCACAGCTCCCTCTTCCAACATGTCGGCATTTTTCGGTCACTTGGTGGCTTTCAGACTCTGCAAGAGAAGAAGTTTGGTAAGGGCAGTATTTTCGACAATCCCAATGCCACCGTTACACGAAACCTCACCATTGTACCCACCTACGATACAAAGTTTATCTATTTTCCTGGCGGTGATCCACAAGACCGGAAAGATAGTTGTGACTTCAGCCAGAGCCCTCAGAAGCAAAAGGTCAAGAGATGCTGGCTTTGGGCTAAGAGCCCTCAGGCAGGACAACATCTCACGTTGACCTTCGACAGGGACATTCCTATGAAGGCTTTCTTGGCCGAGTTTGGCAACGACGCGCATCCCAAGGACCTCCTGAAGAATGCCATCATCCAGGTTGCAGGCACAGAGAGTGCCGGTGGGGCTTCGTTGGGCCCCTGTGGTGTCTTTCATGACCTGATGCCGGTGAGCAGCTCGGTGATCTACTGGGAAGAAGGGGTGAGTAGTCCTCCACATTTGCCGATCCCCCAGATCCGGTGCCTTCGAATCCTGGTTGTGGCTGCACAGCAGGAATGGGCCATCATCCTGCAGCTGCAAGTGAGGTCTGCTTGAGACAAAAGGGAGTCAGTGCTTTGGGGTACCGAGATGTATTGTGGGCTGAGGTCCTTTGCGTTCATAAATGCAGATCAACAAGTGAATGGCATCAGGCAGTGTGAATCCCACCCATAGATGTCACGTGAGGCGAAGACACGAATCCTGGAGCCTCAGCCTCAGTGTGATGGGTGCGCTAAATAGTCAATCAGGAAAAAAGAAACTGGCTAAGCCGCTTAAGCATAAGCTGGCATAGCTAAGATAAGCCGCTAAGCTCATCCTCTCTAAGCTTTCGTTAGGGACATCGCGAACAAGAAAGTGGGCACAATAGGTTGTTCCAATAAATTTGCAGAATAAATCAAACATATTTTGTCACATTTATCTTTTACTATCTTGTCCTGGCCATTTTCTAGCCTATCAGGTGCGCCTTGAGGTTCTTGAGCTGAAATCGATTTTGCATGTTCCCTCAGGGCACCAGTTGAAGGTGATCCAGATGATCTCTTCGCACGTACAGGTCAGAAGACGCAGACTGTGAACTATAGTCAAGCACTAGCAATGGCCTCCAACCTAAGAGCAATGGCCTCCAACCTAAGAGAAATGGCCTCCAACCTAAGAGCAATGGCCTCCAACCTAAGAGCGATGGCCTCCAACCTGAGAGCGATGGCCTCCAACCTGAGAGCAATGGCCTCCAACCTAAGAGCAATGGCCTCCAACCTAAGAGCAATGGCCTCCAACCTAAGAGCAATGGCCTCCAACCTAAGAGCGATGGCCTCCAACCTA